TGGCTAAATCACCTATTCCCTCTTCTTACTTCCTCTTCCTCTGGCTGGCAGGAAGTACAGCCCTATTCTCTCCCCTGTCCAGCAACTGGCTGTAAGCTACTTTATTGGCAGATCAAGGGACAATTGGGGAAAAGTGTTTATACAACATTGAAACAGGAGATTCTCAGAATGAAGATTGCAAACAGATAATGGGACATACAGAAATGAGTACTTGAATTACACAATAACCTAATGCCTTCCCCTTTAAGTCTAATAAAAGGATCTTTCTCTTATATTAACTATACATAATAACAATTATGAAAATTAGGGTAAGATTTACATTTGTGTCTTTGATACCCTTGGATAAAGTATTGTAACATCTCTCAATGTCTATCATCTTCAAAAAAATTAAGTGTAACTCTAAGACTATAATTATCTAGTCTTTAACCCTATCAGAGACTTAAGAAAAGAAATAAATACTATGTAAATATGCAGAAAATTTGGGCAAGCACCTTCTAAAAGTATAGAAATGACAGAGATGTTTGGATGCCTGGACAGCTGTCCAAAATTCTTTTATAGCATTGGAGCATCATTTTTAATTTAGCCTTCAGGCTCAAAAGATTTGACAGGTTTTTCTTCGAAGCAGGAAATATAAAGGACTTAACGACATTATCCTTGCAAACCTCGGCAGCCAGCTCTCCTGCATCCTGGACTTTCAGCTTTCGACAGTGTTCTGTCTGTAATTGACACAGGGCACTGTCTCATCCAGTGGCTACTTTGCCACATATCAAGCCTGTCTTATTGCTTTAAAAAGTTAATAAAATACCTTTAAATGTCACATTCTATAGATCTAGGGGTTTTGAAGACCAACGATCTTATCTGAATTGTTTGTTTTTAGCTATTTTTATCTATTAACTACAAAAACATTTTTTTTGTAATTAACTAAACAAGTATCTAACATTACCATGAGTTTGATCGTCTAACTGCTAATATGCAGTTAGACAGTTAGGATAATTATTTCTTAATTATATGAAACAATTTTCAAAAGAACTAGAATTTAACATTATAGTTAAGAATTACAAAGTTTCAATTACTTAGGATGTTATAACCAAATATAATCTTTTATCGGCATTATGTACCAATGTACAATGATTTGATGTAAAAGTAGATTCAATAATCTACTTTTTACTTATAGTTTCTATAACCAATCCCTTTAAAACAGTAACAAACATCTTCCCTTCCATAAAATGACCCAAAACCATCTACCCCTGTTCTTGGAAATAGGGCATAGTTTTCTTAGGTTGCTTCTGGCTGATTTGGGGAGATAGTTTTCCTTTTGGAGTGGGCAAGAAAATTGTGATATTGTCCAGTCTTAAGAAAGCTACGTGTAATGTTTGCTGTCCAGTCTTTGTATGCTGAGAAGGTTCACAGCTTAACTGAAGTCCTGACTGGAGCACTTTGTGACCCTGTGATAGCTGTATTGAAACTTTCCTGGGTGCAGATTTTTGTGGAAACAGATACTGTGGCTGTCTAGGAGGTTGTTTGGATGACTTGTCTTATCTTTCTTGGTGTCTGGTCCTCTTGTTCTCCAAAATACATAAACTTTTAAAGGTATATATTTTTCACATATATTAATAAAAAAACTACATGCTGAGCACAGTTTAGTTAAAGGAGATTTTCCAAAAAATAAAATTTGATCTATACCATTTAAAAGAATGGTAAGTCCTGAAGAATTTGTAGCCAAAGATTTATTGGCCATGCATAGCTAAAGCCCTGGTTAGAGACATTTTCACATCGCAGTTAGTCTCAGAAATGATCTCATGATGCCTGACCTGATTGGTCTTAATGACTTTTTTTAATTCTTTATTAATTACACTTTATTCACTTTGTATCTCCCCTGTGGTTCTCTCCCTCCTCCCGTCCCAATCACTCCTTCCTCTACCCTCTGCATACATGCCCCTCCCCAAGTCCACTGATAGGGGAGGTCTTCTTTTCCTTCCTTCTGATCCTAGTCAATTAGGTCTCATCAGGAGTGGCTGCAGTGTCTTCTTCTGTGGCCTCATAATGCTACTTTCCCCTCTAGGGGAGGTAATTAAAGAGCAGGCCAATCAGTTCATGTCAGAGGCGATCCCTGTTCCTATTACAATGGAACCCACTTGGATACTGAACTGCGACGGGCTACATCTGTGCAGGGGTCTTAGGTTATCTCCATGCATGGTCCTTGGTTGGAGTATCAGTCTCAGGAAAGAACCCTGTGCTCAGAATTTTGGGTTCTGTTCCTTTCCTTGTGGAGTTCTGGAAAGCAATCTGGCACTTCCTCAGACAACTAGGAATAGTGTTTCCTCAAGATCCAGCTATACCACTCCTAGGCATATACCCAAAAGAGGCTCAAGTACACAATAAGGATATTTGCTCAACCATGTTTTTAGCAGCCTTATTTGTAATAGCCAGAAGCTGGAAACAGCCCAGATGCTCCTCAGTGAAGGAATGGATACAGAATTGTGGTATATCTACACAATGGAGTATTACTCAGCAATAAAAAACAAGAAAATCATGAAATTTGCAGGTAAATAGTGGGATCTGGAAAAGATCATCCTGAGTGTGCTATCCCAGAAGCAGAAAGACGCACATGGTATATACTCACTCATATAGACCTATAATATAGGATACACCTACTAAAATCTGTACACCTAAAGAAACTAATCAAGAAGGAGGACTCTTGCTAAAATGCTCAATCCCTATCCAGAAAGGCAAAGAGGATGGACATCAGAAGGAGAAAAGAGGGATCAAGTCAGGAGCCTGCCACAGATGACCTCTGAAAGGCTCTGCCCTACACACTATCAGTGCAGATGCTGAGACTTATGGGCAACCTTTGGGCAGAGTGCAGGGAATCTTAGGAAAGAAGTGGGAAACAGTAAGAGCTGGAGAGGTCTTAATGGTTTTTTTTTTTTTCCTTCTGTCTGCAGCCAAGATCTTCAGAAGGTCTTCTCCTGTTAAACCTGATTTCTATAATAACAGGCTCTGTACAAATTTTCTAGAAATCAGGTTTAACAGGAGAAGACCTTCTGAAGATCTTGGCTGCAGACAGAAGGAAAAAAAAAAAAAACCATTAAGACCTTTCCAGATCTTACTGTTTCCCACTTCTTTCCTAAGATTCCCTGCACTCTGCCCAAAGGTTGCCCATAAGAAGGGGCAAGTAAGGGGTGGGGGGAGGGTGGGACCAGGAGGGGATTAATTCATATAATTTAGCAGTCCTTTCTAAAATCCAGTATATTTTAGCAGACTTGGTACTTGTCTCATTAAAATATTTAAAATTAGTAAATCATTATTTAACCTACTTGGGGGAGATATTATATTCCCGTTCTGTTTTCATGACTGAGGGTGGGACTGGGAGGAAATGAGGAAGGAGGCTACAGTGGGGATGCAAAATGAATAAACTGTAATTAATAAAAAAATAAATTTAATAAAAAGAAAACTCAAAAAGTTATTGTTAGATCTTTCCATAATTGTTTGACCTATAGGGTTATAAATTACATCTGTGACAGGTTTCATGTCATAATGCCTAAAACCTTACTGTATTTCAATTGACATACATGCTGAAGCATTATCAGCGCCAATTTGCGAAGGCATCTCCAAGACATTCGCCATCTTTAACAACTGTGTATGTAGCCTTAGAATAATGCCCTCCAGAATTTAAGGCAAAAGCGTATTGGAATTCTGAATATGAACATAAGGCATGCTGTATAGACTTCAGTTCTACAAACTCTGCAAAGTAGAGCACAGAAGCTACCGCATGGCCTTGTTCCCAGGAAACACCAAACTGAATATGCATTTCTACTTTAGCATCTAGACCTCTACCCAGTGATTGAACCTTGAAGGTACACATACAATATCCAGTTGACCATGCTGGTCTACAGCTGTAGCCTTTCCGTCCAGCATCTCAATGGGCTGCCATTTATTCTGCAATTTCTTGAAGTCTTTGTGGATCTTCTTCATCTGGAACTACCACTTTTGACAGTATTGTAAGTTCCAGATTGTTTTTTTTTTTTTTTCTGAAGGTTTCCTATTTTGATTCAATGAGTCCTCCAAACTGTTCTATGGCCTTTAATTTAGCAACTATTTTCTCATTCTTTTTTCCCTGCAAGTCTGTCTTATTCTGATCTTTCCCAAAGAGGATATACAAAACTGAAGCTGTCACTGAAAAAATTATTTGTATACTAACAGAAACAAACTCAAATGGACTCCAAAAACACCATCTCACTGTGTCTTTCTCAATTTTTGACATAGAAAAGAATCTTCTTTAATCTCTAAACCTCTCCCTAAGGACTTTTCTTCTTCAGACCCAGCTTTCCTTTGAGACTTAACCAGTTCAGATGCTTGAGGTTTCTCAGTTTGTCTCTGGCTCCTGATTCCATGGAGAGGCTTTTTTTTCTGCCTACCTCACTGGATCCTGACCCCTCCCCAACTCTGGGAAGTTATTGGGTCCATAAGTATTTGTTCTTGTGGCCTGCAGGAGTAAGGTGAGCAAGAACCCCTTCTCAAAGGGATTTAGCTTTCTGCTGTGAGTAGGGAAGTCTGGCTTTGAGAAGCTTGCTTGTGTTAAAGGGTCACTTTTGTTGTTGTTTTCTTAGGAAGGCTTAAAAGAACTGCCTCTCTGATGTTCATTTTAGTTTTTTTTGTTTCTCTTCAGCCAGCTGGAGGCCTGGCTTCTCTAAGGGGGTGTAATCAGGAAGCTGTGAGCTCCTTCCTCAGAAACTTCAGTTGTCTGTCCACATGTCTCCATGTGGGGGTCATCTGTCTCTGCCTAGGCCCCCTTCATCCTAGGCAGGGTTCTTCTAGTCTTCAGCTTGTTCCCGCTAGGCTGTGAGCCCAGCAGAGTTGTCTAGTCTCCGGCTTGCTCCCCAGCCAGGGACCCCAACTGCGTCTGCACAGCGCTGGACAAGTGGTCACCTCAGGCTAGCTCCCTGTTCAGAGCTCCTAGGGCTGGACTGGTGGACCTATCAGGTTTGTATTGCTCAGGGAGTGTTAGGCTACTAGTCATCCAGATGTTCACAGGTTAGAACACCAAGCGTAGACACAGCCTCTTTCCTCTCTGACACCTACTGAAACACAGGAGACCCAGCAGTCACGCCTGCAACACATCCAGGGACTGAATACAATCTTGACAGCATGCAGTCTTCACTGGCTTGCAGTCTCCTAGATATACAGTATTTGCAGGATGTCCAGTTTTTCATCGACATACAGTGACCACTAGATAGAGTCCTTGCTGAAGGTGCAGCTTTTGTGGACGTACAGTCTTCAGGAAATGTACAATAGTCCCTGAGAATACATTCCTGGATGAATGTACAGCTATTACTGAACGTAGGGTCTTCCATGGATGTGCAATTTTGGTGACTGTACAGTTTTCACTGAATATACACTTTTCCTGAATGCATTTTCTTACAAAAATGCACAGCCTTCACTGCATGTAGAGTCAGCATTGCTTTTATAGCCTTTGCTGGATATACAGTCTTCCCCGGATGCCCAGATTTCGCAGGATGTAGCACTCACTGCATGTGCAGTCGCCACTGAATAGACCTTGTTGAATGCATAGCCTTGCCTGAGTGTAGACCCTTTGCTGCATGCACAGTCTTTGCTGGTGATCAGTCTCCACAGGCTGGACAATGATTACTGACTTACAGTCTTCAGTGAATAGACATTCCTCTTGAATGCCCAGTTGTCAGTGCATATACAGAGTTCACTGAATGTACCATATCGACTGAAGGATATCCTTTAATGGATAGTCTTTGCTTCATGCAGAGTCTTCATTGAATGTGCACTTTTCACGGGATATATAATCAGTCCTTTCTTACTGATCAGTTCTAACTGAATGGACAGTCTTTGCTGTGTGTACGATTTTTCACTAAATGTAGTCTTTACTGGTGGCACAGTCATTGTTGAATGTTCAGCCTTGCCTGGATGTACAGCCTTCCGTGACCGTACAGTGTTTACTGATTATACAGTGTTCACATAAGCACAGTCTTCGTTGGATCCACTGTGTTTGCTGGATATACACTCATCGCTGAATGTACAATCTTTCCTAAACATGGTCTGCACTGCAAGCACAGTCTTCAGTGGTTTTGTGGTTTTCACTCGATGTGTAGTCTTTACTGGAGGCACAGTCTTGCCTGGATATACAGCCTTCCCTGGATACACACTCTTGGCTGAATATACAATCTTTGCTGGATACACAGTCTTCCCTGGGTGCACAGTCTTCACTGATTTAACAATCTCCCCTTGATGTGCAATATCTGCCTGGTATAGATTCTTGTTAAACAAAAGTATTGGCTGGATGTACAGCCCTTGCTAGATATACAGTCTTTGTGGAGTTACAGTCTTACCTTAATGTACATTCTTACCTGAAGTTATCATCTATGTCCTCACCAAATGTAGGCTCTTTGCTGAATGTACAATACTAGCTGTATATGTACTTCATACTGAATGGCAGTCTTTGCTGCATGTATAGTCTTCCCTGCATTTTCCATCTTTGCTGGATGTACAGTTTTTGCTGGATTACAATCGTCACTGATATATATGTATACCCATACACACACACACACACATAATTTGCTGGCTGAATAGCCTTTGCTGCCTGAACAGTCATCACTGAAAAGGCATTCCTTATTGAACAGTCTTACTTGAATGTGCAGTCTTCAGTGAACATAAAGTACTCAGTGATCGTATTGAAGACACAGCCTTTGCAGGCTCAGAGTATTTAATCAATGTACAGTGCTCACTTGATGGACAGCCCGCACTGAATGTAGTTTTTGCAGGATGTACGGTCACCCCTGAATGTTCAGTCTTCCTGAATATACAATCCTCGCTGCGTGAACCATACATAGTGAATGCACAGTCCTTGCTGAATGTATAGACTTCACTGAGTGTGCACTTCTTGCTGAATAGACATACTTGAGTGCACAGGAATACATGAATGTACTGTCTTCCCTGTGTATATTGTCTTTGCTGAATGTACAGAGTTCACTGAATATACACTCCTCCCTGAATCTATAGTCTTGTCTGAATGTATCATCTATGTTTCATGTACAGTGTTTGCTGGTTGTACAGTTTCTGTTGGATATAAAATCTTTGCTGGATCTAATCCACATTTTGCTAGATGTACAATATTACCTGAATACTGCTCTTGCTGAATGTGCAAGCCTCAGCAGAACATACAATCTATTGAATATACAAATATTGCATTCTGAATGTTTTGTTTTCTCTGGATATATAGACTTGACTAGGGGTAGTCTTTGCTGAGTGCATAGTCTTCACCAAATGTAAACTCTTTTCTGGTGTACAATCTTCACTAAATAGACAAGATTCTACACATACAGTCTTTGATGATTGGACAGTTCACTGAATGCAGTCTTCATTACATGTTGACCTTCATTGTATTTTCAGTCTCTGCCCAATATTCAATTTTCACTCTATGGACAATCTTCATGTACATACATTCTTCACAGGATATAGTTTTGTTGGACATACAGTCTTTACTGAAAGTTCAGTCTTCACTGAATGTCTCATCTTACCTGAATGGACAGTGTTTGCTGCATTTGTAGACTTCTCTGATTGTACAGTCTCTTCTGGATGTGTAAATATCACTATATGTGCAGTCTTCACCGAATGTACAATGTTCCCTATCTTTACAGTTTCCCCTAACTTTACAGTCTACTGGAAGATATTTTTTTTGTATTTGCTGGCCCTGTAGTGGACATCCATTTTGTTGATAAGTAACAAAGTAATGACCCTGTCAGGTAAGTGTACTTACTCATCTGTCTATATGACAAAGCTTTTTCCTCTGGGCTCCTTCAGAATTCATATATGGATTGTCCTGTGTGTATTACCATCTGCAGGGAGACTGACTTTCACAACTCTGTGAAAATAAAAATTCATGTATTTCACAATTCCAAGGGTAGTAGATAATAATCAATTCGAAATATTATGATCATGCTTTTGTTCTGGCCCCCAGCGATGGAGCATCAGTTCTGAGGTGAAAGCATTTTCCTCATAGAATGCAATACCAGAACCTTGGAACTGACAATCATATTCATGTCAGAGACAGTCCCTGTTCCCTTACTAGGCAACCCACTTGGTTACTGAGCTGCCACTGGCTACATCTGTGCAGGGGTTCTAAGTTATCTCAATGCATAATCCTTAATTAAAATATCAGTCTCAGAAAAGAACCCTTGGCCCAGATTTCTTGGTTCTGTTGCTCTCCTTGTGGAGCTCCTGTCCCCTTCAGGTATTTCTATCTCCCCTTTCTTTCATAAGGTTCACTGCACTCTACACAATGTTTGGTTATGAGTCTCAGCATCTGCTTTGATACCCTGCTGAGTAGTGTCTTTCAGTGGCTCTTCGTGGTAAGTTGCCTGTTTTCTCCCTCTTCTAATGTCCATCCCATCTGCATTTCTAAGTAAGGATTGATCATCTTACCCAGGGTACTTCTTCTTGCTTAGCTTCTTTAGGTGTATATATTTTAGTATGTTTATCCTATCTTATAGGTCTATATCTACTTATAAGTGAGTATATAGCATGTATGTATTTCTGCTTCTGGGATACCTCACTCAGGATGATCTTTTCTAGATCCCACCATTTGCCTGCAATTTCATGATTTCCTTGTTTTTAATTACTGAGTAGTATTCCATTGTGTAAACATACCACAGTTTCTGTATCCATTCCTTCATTGAGGGACATCTGGGTTGTTTCCAGGTTCTGCCTATTATAAGTAAAGCTGCTACAAACATGTTTGAGCAAATGTCCTTATTGAGTACTTGAACATACTTTGGATATATCCCTAGAAGTGGTATAGCTGGATCTTGAGGTAGCACTATTCCTAATTGTCTGAGAAAGAGCCAGATTGATTTCCAAAGTAGGAGAAAACAAGAAACAGGACAGGAGCCTAACAGAGAGGGCCTCTGAAAGATTCTATCTAGCAGTGTATCAAAGCAGATGCTGAGATTCATAACCAAAACTTAGGCAGAGTGCAGGGAATCATATGAAAGAAGGGGGAGTTGGTAAGACCTGGAGAGAATGGGAATGCCACAATATTTCTGGGCACAGGAGCCTTGTCTGAGACTGATTCTCCAAACAAGGACCATGCATGAAGATAACCTAGAACCCCTGCTCAGCCATAGCCCATGGCAGCTCAGCATCCAAGTATGTACCCTAGTAAGGGGAACAGGGACTGTCTCTGACATGAACTCAGTAGCAGACTCTTTAACCTCCCCCCCGCCCCCCGAGGGAGGAGTAGCCTTGCTAGGTCACAGAGGAGGACAAAGCAGCCAGTCCTGATGAGACCCGATAAACTAGGGTCAGATGGAAGGGGAGGAGGACCTCCCCTATCAGTGGATTTAGAGAGGGGCAGGGAGGAGATTGAGGAGGGAGGGTGGGATTGGGAGGAAATGAGGGAGGAAGCTACAGCTGGGATACAAAGTAAATAATATGTAATTAATACAAAAAATAAAAATTAAAAAAAAACCTAATTCTGGTAGCATTGTATCCATATTAGAGGTAACTTCCCCTTTGCAGTGAAGTTGTATCAAGTTCACTGTGAAGGGTATGATATAATAGTTGTTTAACTGAAAACATAAAATTGTGGAATAAAGTTTAACAAATTTTAGAAAGTTGTAAAAGTTAAGTGAGACAGTTGAAGTTATACAAAACCAACAGATCAGACCAGACCCCCCGAAAAAAAATAAAAAAAAAGAAGAAGAAAAGAAAAAGGCAATTTCCAATTTAGTGCCTTTCTTGCCTTTTTAATTTAATGTTCTCTCTGTGGCCAAAAGGGCTAATGAAGCTTCAAAAGTTTCTGTCATGGTCCCAGACCATAACCTATGCAGAAGATGCTGGGTCATTAAACTAAAGGTCTCCATCGGCATCTTCTCTAACAAGCATAAAGGTGACCTCGACCCATGTTGTCACTCAGGGAATAGATCCCTGATGCCCAGGAACAAAGCTATACTAGAGTCCACACAGGAAAGACAATCAGACCAAAAGACTTGCATGATTTTCACTCTTCAATAAAAGATCTTTAAAAACTACTTTGAAAATTGGGAGTTCTTTTTTAAAAAAAAATCTTAAGGAAAAAAACTCAGGATTTAAAAAAAGTAAACTA